GTTTCTTTCCTTTTTCAGCAGTGCTAAGGGAATTGCTAATACAACATAAAAATGGCATTGGTATTTTTAGATGTGCCCAGTGAACCCAAAGAACGAGGAGACTTTAACAATGAACGAGGAGAGCGAAAGGTCTGCAGATTCAAGCTTGACTGGTTGGGAAATTGCTCTGGATTAAATGATGAAACTTACGGCTACAAAGAGGGCAAACCATGCATCATTATAAAGCTCAACCGAGTTTTGGGCTTCAAACCTAAGGCAAGTAATATTTTAAATTACAGAATTTAGATGAGCCATTCATATTTTTGATGAAGTCTCCAATTTATACAAGAAGACAGTATAAGACAATATAATGAATGCCAATTTTGAAGTCCAGTCAGTAGGGTTAATACCAAAAACTTCTGTGTCTACCCTGAAATTCCTATAGTTAGAGCACTGACCTCGTTTTCCAAAGTTAGACAAATTCTGAGTGGCAAAACCACATGCCTAAAGTGAGTCCCGTGGCCCTGTTCTTAATACTCCTGCTTGATATCTAGGTAAGTTTCTATAATATAAACTCTTTGAAAGCAAAAATAGAAAAAGATATTTTTAAATTTAAAAATCACCTGCATGTGTAGTCTGGTTTTGGTCTTCTTGGAGCCACAAGAATATTTCCAAAGAATTTTCTGGTAATCTGAAAAAAATATATATTTTTTCCCAAGTGATTTCATTCCAGAAATAGAAGTTGAACCCCATCTAGGCTGAACTTTGATAACCATGCTATGGGCTTTTTGTGTTGTTGCAACTTATAATGGGTACATTACTTGAGATCACTGAAAAATGGCAAATTGCCATTGCTCACCATTTGGTGAGATTATATTCTTTAAAAGAAGGTAAAAGAAGGTTAAAACTAATGTGTTATCTCTGCTTTTGTAAAAACGATCATTTCTTTCTCTTCCCATTCCCCCAGATCATGAATTAAACAATGTTTCCTCTCCCCTTCGGCATGGCTTTTCCCAGTAGTTTCTCCCAAATCACCCATGAATGCTGTCATTATGAATGTAGTTTTTAGTTTTATAGGAATTGACTAATTTCATTTTTGAAAGTTCTTTTGTTCACTGATTTTCTATTGATGCCATTAATTTGTTTCTGTAATGCTTGTTACCCATGAATAATATTTTTAAAAGAAATGAATGTAGAGATGAAAAGTTTTGTTAGCTGAAGGATGCATGGAAGCTCCTTTTTTGCTACTAGAAGCAAAAGTGAGTAAGTGGGTGGATGGATGGTTGCCTGGCTGGCTGGCTTGATGGATCTCTGCAGAAATTAATGTACCTTTCAACAGGATTTCAATCTTCTTTCCACTTAGACTAGGATATAATGGAAGAAAAATGGTGAGAACCATCACACCATAATGTATTTGATATTCATAATGCTAGAGAACACTTGACCAAGATCAATCAACTGTTTAGCTATAAAAGGAATTGGTATGGTGTGGCTGAAAGAAGACTAATCTTAATATCTGCCGAGTACCTTGATTTTGATGTTCCTCATCATAGACGCTAAGTGGCATTTGTACCCCACAGAGGCAGTCTGTTCATATCTCTTCCCACATCTATAGGGATATTCTGTTAAGTGATGCATTCAGCTCTTTCTTTTCAATCCCTTTTTTCTTTTTTCTCTGATCTCTACTTGGTTATCCATTTCTACGTCCTTATCATTGCCACCTAAATCTGCAATGAGTCAGCCACTGGGATTATTTTTGTCAGAGAGCACAGTACTCCAGCATCTTGCTGGGTGTGCCTCCTTCCTTACCCTTTGAGAATTAGATTCTGGCAACTTTTTTTTTTCAATCAATAAGCATTTTCTCGTCATATTTTTAATAATAAATATATTGCTGGCAGAGAGTTCCAAGAGAGTCAAATCTAGATAATCATTTTCTTGTATTAAAAAGAAATGGTAGTACAAAAACATTAGTTCCCTACTGAGGGAGAGAACTGCCCATTTTATCTAACTTTGGTTAGATGATGTATGTGTCACATCTCAAGATTCACACGTGAGCAAGCAAGTGGCTGTCTTCTTGTTATGTGTATTCATCACATTTCTTCTAAGGTAGGTTTGAACCAGGGATATAGGAGGGAAGGTTCTGGATACTTCACTACAGTAGTAATTTTCAGTCTGTACTCTGGGTCCTTTCAATGGATTCACTCTTTCAAGACAACCCTTCCTTCAGGACAGTGCCACCTTCACTTCTTGGACACATTGGACTTTCCTAACAGAATTGGAAAGAAACTACTTCAGTGGCAGTCCCTGACCCCCACCCCCTAGAGATTAAAAAAAAAGAAAGCTTACTTGAAGAAGGCATTCTTGAAGGAAAAGGATGACATTATTTATTCCTGGCTCGGGAAAAAAGCCTAAATTTAAAAAAAAACAGAAATGTCAGGCAACTTTCCCATGTAATATAATCTTAGCAAATAATGAGCATTATTTTGGGGGTTGGCTCTTATTTTTCAGTGTCCTTAAGCAAAGCTTATAGTGGGTCACCACTAGAAGCCCCATTTAGCACTGGACTGCAGCACAGCTTACTATTGTGGTTACTTAGGCACTTATTTTCATTTCAACAAAATCACAAACACAACGTTTCCTAGACTGGTTAGGGGAGTCATTCATTCTGCCATCCTGAAGTGTTTTGTTATTTCGGTTGACTTATTGTGACCAATGTGTACTTGTTTGGGCTACAAACCTGTTTTATTTTTAGAAATTTAAAACATTATTGATAATCCAGCTGACCAACGTGAGTTTTGTTTTTAGCCTCCCAAGAATGAGTCCTTGGAATCTTACCCAGTGATGAAGTATAATCCGTATGTCCTGCCTGTTCAGTGCACTGGCAAGGTAAGGGCACATTTAATGTTGCCGAGGGTGTGGCGGGGGAAGAGGGAAGGGATGAGTGAGATTTTGTGAGTTAGAGGTAAAATCTTAATATAGTAAACAAGAAACACTTCTTCCAGGTATTAGTGTCTCAGTAGGTTAAATTTCAACTACACTAGGTAAAACTTCTTTAAAGGACAGAAAGGTATAATAAGAATTAAACTGTCAGTTTCTTAATTGGCACAAGAAACTCAAATATCTGAATTTAATCCATTGGAATATTTGTTTGTAGAACTGAGAGGTGAACCAGTTCATAAAAGTGCTTCTCTGGGACCACACCAAGTGTTGAAAATTTGAGGCCAACATTTTTTTAAAGTTAATGTCACCTAAAAATCTGTGGTTTGGGTTTTTCTTTTTAAAATATTGAAAGATTAAGGTAATAGTCAGTACATGTTCCTTTTATATCTAAAAACTGATGGATGGTTTATAGACAGAGAGAGAGAGAGGGCAGAATAAAGAATGGGGACTCCCCAAACAGTGCCATTTTATGTTGGCACCAAGAAAGGAAATGGACACGAAAATGAGAGGCAAACAGTTACATCTTTGGCGATAATATCACCGGAAAGAGCATCCACTGGGCCAACACCAAGGAGTTTCTGACTTTCAGTGTTGGCCCTGTTTCTAGGAGGCTGTTGTCTTAGAGAAATGCTTATTTGGCCCCTGCCTCCGTTTCCCCATTTGTATAATGAGAATAGCCTCCTTTTATGAGCATTTCTCAGGGATGCTGTGAATTAGGCTGAGTGTATGTTCTTTCCTGTCACAGTCGTTTGCACACTGCTCTATTGGGTTGAGAGTCTTGCTTGTCTGCGAGCACAAGTAGTGATCTATGATGTGAGCCATTAATATTGCATTTCGTTCTGGTTTTTAGCGAGAGGAAGATAAGGATAAAATTGGAACCGTGGAGTATTTTGGACTGGGCAACTACCCTGGCTTTCCTCTGCAGTATTATCCCTACTATGGTAAACTACTGCAGCCCAAGTACCTGCAGCCCCTGCTGGCCGTACAGTTCACCAACCTCACCATGGACACTGAAATCCGCATAGAGTGTAAGGCGTATGGTGAGAACATTGGGTACAGTGAGAAAGACCGTTTTCAGGGACGCTTTGATGTAAAAATTGAAGTTAAGAGCTGATCACAAGCACAAATCTTTCCCACTAGCCATTTAATAAGTTAAAAAAAGATACAAAAACAAACCTACTAGTCTTGAACAAACTGTCATACGTATGGGACCTACACTTAATCTATATGCTTTACACTAGCTTTCTGCATTTAATAGGTTAGAATGTAAATTTAAAGTGTAGCAATAGCAACAAAATATTTATTCTACTGTAAATGACAAAATAAAAATAAAAATTGAGCCTTGGGACGTGCCCATTTTTACTGTAAATTATGATTCCATAACTGACTTGTAGTAAGCAGTGTTTCTGGCCCCTAAGTATTGCTGCCTTGTGTATTTTATTTAGTGTACAGTACTATAGGTGCATACTCTGGTCATTTTTCAAGCCATGTTTTATCGTATCTGTTTTCTACTTTATGTGAGCAAGGTTTGCTGTCCAAGGTGTAAATATTCAATGGGAATAAAACTGGCATGGTAGTTTTTTTTTTTTTTCGGTTTGGCTCTTTCAAAGATAATGGCCCATCAATGAGCATTTTTAACACACTCCATAGTCTTTTCCTGTGGTGTTAGGTCTTACTTTATTTTTTTTTTTTCCTGGGGCTGGGGGCGGGGGGCTGTCATGGGGGAACTGCCCTTTAAATTTTAAGTGACACTACAGAAAAACACAAAAAGGTGATGGGTTGTGTTGTGCTTCGTATTGAATGCTGTCTTGACATCTCTTCCCTTGTCCTCCAGTATGTTCTAAAGCTGTGTCTGAGATCTGGATCTGCCCATCACTTTAGTGACGGGGCTAATTAATTTGCTTTGTACATTTTCCTTTACTTTGCTTTTTTTCCTTTCTCTGGAGGCATCACATGCTGGTGCTGTGTCTTTATGAATGTTTTAACCATTTTCATGGTGGAAGAATTTTATATTTATGCAGTTGTACAATTTTATTTTTTCTGCAAGAAAAAGTGTAATGTATGAAATAAACCAAAGTCACTTGTTTGAAAATAAATCTTTATTTTGAACTTTATAAGAAGCAATGCAGTACCCCATAGACTGGTGTTAAATGTTGTCTACAGTGCAAAATCCATGTTCTAACATATGTAATAATTGCCAGGAGTACAGTGCTCTTGTTGATCTTGTATTCAGTCAGGTTAAAACAATGGACAATAAAAGAATGAACACATTCCTCATGTGTGTGATTCACTCTTGTCTTGCCCCAACCTGTGACTTCTTTACTTCTATACTGCTAATTATCCAAGATCTTGAAGAAATACTGAACCTGAAAGACAAACACATGATTTTATTAGTCCATATTGGAGTTTGGCCTTTTCTACCTAACAGAGTCCAAGAGCGTGGGCAGGACTCTGGACACTGGACTACCAAAGCACTCCCCTTCCCAAAGAGATGACTGAGTTAATCAGGCAGAGAATCAATGAAGCTTTAACTTAAAGTTCGATTTTGGAAAGATTTCGCAGTGCTACTTCACCCAATTTACAACACATAAAATTTTAATCCCTAGTAATTCTGCACGAGGTATGTCTGTTTAAAAAAAAAAATAAAGTTGGATTTATTAGCAGTTTGGTTAAAAAAAAATGAGCCTTATTTATGAAAGAAGACAAAAATCAGGTTTCTGAAAAACATTTTCCAGGTTTAATTGCGCTGAAGATGTGGTATTACTTAACCGGTGTGGGAAATACTGAAACTACAGTCATGGCATCGTATTTCTGAAATGGAAACCCCTCACAGAGCCTGTGGGGCCGCAGCACAAGCAAATCCTTGCAGCTGTGTGGTGTCTTCAGGACCGCCCCCCTTGCTCCCCTCCCATGAGGCAGATGCAGGGGGGCAGACGCAGGGGCCCTCTGCTAACTCTGCTAACTCAAAGACCACAACAGCTTCGATTCTCACCTGCTGCTCCACATTTATAATCCTGTCGATTTGTTTCTGTTTATCCTTTACAAATATTGCCTGAGATTCTGCCATGCCTAGAGCAACAAACTGTGTCATGACAAATTAATACCAGAGGAACAATGGTTCCATTTAACAAAAAAATAGCAAAGGGAACTAGAAAATGGCACAACTGCTTAACTTCAAAGTTTTTAGGAGCTCTTGTCAATTACTGAAGAAAAAGAGCAAAATCCTTAAACTAATAACATACATACATAAAACTTTCTCAAAAAGTAACGCACATTTATGGAAACAGAAGTTATATGATAGAATGTGGTCTGTCTTGCTGAAACACTGGTTGGTTTGTAGTATGTATATGAGTTTTCCATTTGTGATGTGTGTGAATGAGAGGGAATGGCAGCTTTAGGTCTGAGGAAAGGGGAGTATTTATTCAAATTGGAGGGCGGTTTGCATTTTTGAGGGTGTTCTAAGATCATGACCTTGGTGAGACTAACCTAACCTGTTCCAAGCCATTGTGTATGTCTGCCTATCACTTTCTCCAAGATTCTCTTCAAATCTTGCTTCTTTTAACCTCTCCAGATTATGCCAACCTGTTTTCCTTCCATGATCCTGAGGGGTGTATCACCACTCGGAGACTGGAGAATATGGTTTGTATTCTTTGACTCAATAGATACTATTTGCCAACCATTCCTCTAAGAGCTACGGATAGACAGGTGAACCAGTTGACAAAACTCCATCTTCTTTCCTCTGCACCTCACCTTCTAGTGTTTAGTGTTAAGTATTTGGACATTTCTGACATTTTTGCTTCTATACATTTATCATGTCTTTCTTTGTATTATCAGCTTATTCTAACCCTTTGTAGATGACGCATCTCTTGGGCACAGGGACAGTGCTGTTTACCTTCCTTGGGGTGTTCATATGTCTAAGAAAGGGGTTTTCACACAGGTCTACTCAATCAAATACTCATTCCTCACACAGTATATAAAGGGATTTTTCCAAAGACAGTGTTTCTCAAAGCTGGGCTGAGAACTGCTTGGAATCAAAAGTAGTGATATAGTTACTGAAGAGAGAAAAGGGGACTCTTTTCAATCCATCATATTCCCTGAGGGAAAGTTGCAATGTGGTGTTAGTATGTCTTCAACTCAGGTTAATCTCTCTTTCAAATAAAGGGAGACAGGCCTTGGGCTCAGAACCTCTGGCAAACAACATTATCTAGTTAGAATTTAGTAAATTTTATTTCATTGTATTTATTTTGTTACTTTTGATTAAGGACAAGTAATCGAAATAGTTTAAAACAAGTTGTTTTCCATTTATGGCAGTCAGACAAATTTATTCAAGTATAGCAATGAATGGATTTAAAATAATAAATAAAATTTCAGGTTGTACTTAAAAAGGGATAAATGGCCGACTAAAATTTAGGGCTCTTTGTTTCAAAGTATGGCATTAACAGAAGCCAAGGTTTTCGGTTCTATACCTGTCTGGGCAAAATCTATTTTGAACCCAACCTATGTTAGAACAATAGCGCCCTGTCTGCTCAAGCTGCACCTACTACCAGAGGGAACAGCTCCAACTCCAAATTAAAAACATTATCAGTGATCAGAGACGAAAGTCTGTTATCAAAATCTTTCAAAGCTCAATTGTAGCTCCAACTCCTGGCTTCTTAAAGGATTAGTAACACTGATATCTGTGTATATTTGGCACATAGAGGACAGGTTACCAAATGAGGTTACCTTGCAAATCTAGGACTGAGGACATTATGAACACAGAGGGAAACTATTAAAAAAAAAATATTCAAGAACAGTTTTAATTGAGTAACGTGATCTTGGTTTCGAATTCAACAGAGAAAATGTGACTCTATCCTTTCTTTAAGAGGGAGCCAGCATTAACCGGATGCGTTATCTGTAGTCCTGTGGGCTCTATATTGGGAAAGGTAAACAGGAAATAGAGAGATAAGTCTGTTATTCTCCCAACCAGGGCTTCTGATTAGCACACATACCCTACCCATGTGAAACAAAGAGGACTGGATCAAGGCAAGTATCTTGGTTCATGCTTTAATTCCAAGAGACTTTAGCATTAGTCTGTTCTGAGAGATTGAGTATCTTACTAAGGTATTGACTCTTATTGACTACAGAATCCAGCTATTTAGCCACAAATGAATCCCATGCCCTAAAAAAAAAATGCCCATATTATAATAAAACTGTAAAATGCTATCTCTAGCTAGCTTTACCACAAAGCCTTTAAAAAACATGGGTTTCATAAAATCAGAAGTCTTATAAGTAGCTTATTATAAGGGTTTATCTTTTCCAAGGAAACACATATACACATACCTTCCTTACCCTCCAGTATTGGCCCTATACAGACCAGGTAGGAGGTGGCAAAGGGTGATCTGAAACCCACCCATTCAGCCAGCCACAGTGCCTGATGTAGTCATTACTGGGTCTTTTGGTTTAAGTGCTTCAGGAATCAAATATTTCATTCCTATGAATGAAACACCTCATTACCTATAAGAGGTGGCCCTTTAATGCCTATAACTTGTTATAGAAATTCATGGTTATTAAAGAAGCAAGTAATGGGGGAACATGGACTGGTCCTGCAGGAATGGGATATAAGACCCATCCCTTTTGATAAGGAGCAGGCATTCTAAAATGACCAGTGGGTGAGGATCAGGCCTTGGGGAGGGTCTAATGAATCTGCATTGGCATGTCTGGGCATCAAGGGAACAGTATTCAAGGCTAACAGGCATTTTGGGGTTGTACTTCAGAAAATGAAACATAGAAGTCCATGCCTAACAAAACCTTCTTTTCTTTAATTTGCAAATTTCTTCTGAGCCTCCCACTATGTACCCAGCACTGATAATAAGTGAGGGGGGAGTGTCCAGACACACAAGGTCCTCATGAAACTTTTGCCTTTGCTAAATGCCTTAAATGGTCTAAACTGCTCTCATCTATACTACTTCCTTCTCTTCTTTCTTCTGCCAATCATTCATTTAACTAACATTTTGAACACATCCCGTCCATGATCTTTTAAAGATGAGGGAGACTTGGTTCTCAAAGCTCATAGCCTGGAAGGAGAAAACCCCTATAATCAAATAAAATCATTATTGTGGGCTAAAACAGAAGTGCAAATAATTAACTACTAGAGCGGACACAAAATATTTCATAAAATATTTCACAAAATATTTCATTAATTTGAGTTCTGAGGATGAGTGAGATTTGACATAGATGAAAGAATAGCAAATTTTAGCTTAACATACAATTGATAGGCCGATAACTTACAAGATTATTTGGAAGGCTTGTTCTTTTGCTATCACTATTAGATTTAAATAAGAAGAATGGCTTACATTTATTTACTACTTTATACTGTACCGTCTGATTTCATACATAAGTCTCATCTTCTCAACAGCTCTGTGCAGCTGGTCCCCTCATCTCCAGGTACAGACAAGATCCTGAGATTCAGAGATCCCATGACTGCTCATATAATGAGAAGGGGAACTCGATAAGTTGGGAGGGCTGGGAATTGAACCTGTATCTTCCCATTGTAAGCCACACTGGCTCTGTAGTCTCCCATGGAGTAAGGAGTCTCTGCATTTGCTGATGACTATCCAAATCATCACAAATTCTATAACAGTGAAATTTTTAAAGTGTAAATTTGTACAACTGCTTCAAGTGTAGACTCAAAAAAAAAAAAAAAAAAAAAAAAGATTCCAGAGAATCTCACATCCTTGCCCTGAGTAGCAAATATAGGCCTAAAGGATCTACTGGTGTTTCTGCTCCTGCCACCACTCTCGCAAAGGAAGTTCTAGTACATGGAGCTGGCATGAAATTTCTTTGCACATTTTACTGACTGTGGCCTCAGAGTCTGCAGTGGAGCTCCACTCTCCTGCTACCCAGGCTCCGCCACAGACGACAGCACTAGACACTTCACAGATGGTGTGTAAGCATCTATTTTTCGATGGTTCTTAATGTTGCTTGAGTATCAGAAATACCTGTGGAGTATACATTTTGTTTTTAAATCAAAATACAGATGTGCCTGAACACTCTCTCTCCCACTGTGGTGGAATTCCAGCACCAAATTACAGTGTGTGCTAATAATAGCCTTGCTATTATGCTAGATAGATTTTCAGATAAAAGCTAGTCAATCTGAATTTGATTGAAGTACAGTTTTGTTAGTGTTCCAATAACATGACATTGAGTCTTAAAAATATCAGTGTATGCAGTACAGAAGAAACTTTCAACTCACTTGGCCTCTTAGAGTCAGGGCTGGCTTCATGAGCCTGCCGCCCGTGCACAGGGTCACACTCTTAGAAGAGCCCTCGATTGGTTTAATGCTCTGCTGTCGCTGTCTTGAAATTCTTAATTTTGAACAAAGGGCCTG